TAATGTCTGCAAGTACTGAGGCACATAGCCACCATGGTTAGTAGCCATTGGTAGTCTTATCCTCCACGGATTTGCATAGTCTTCTAACACCATCTCAATGTATCAGCATGGAGGAGCAACATTAAAATCAGAATCTGATATTCCCTGTTGTTAAAAGGGGGTGGTAATCCTACAATCCAACAAAGGTCCGTATAGTTAAAGCCATGGTTTTCCCAGTAGTGATGTATGGAAGTGAGAGCTGGACCATCAAGAAGGCTGATCGCCGAAGAATTGATGCTTTTGAATTATGGTGCTGGAGGAGACTCTTGAGAGTCCCATGGACTGCAAGAAGATCAAACGTATCCATTCTTAAGGAAATCAGCCCTGAGTGCTCACTGGAAGGACAGATCCTGAAGCTGAGGCTCCAATACTTTGGCCAGCTCATGAGTAGAGAAGACTCCTGGAAAAGACCCTGATGTTGGGAAAGATGGAGGGCACAAGGAGAAGGGGACGACAGAGGACAAGATGGTTGGACAGTGTTCTCGAAGCTACAAACATGAGTCTGACCAAACTGCGGGAGGCAGTGGAAGACAGGAGTGCCTGGCATGCTCTGGTCCATGGGGTCACGAAGAGTCAGACACGACTAAATGACCAAACAACAACAAATCCTACAATACATCTGTATTGCACCATACCTACTTGAAATCCAGCCTAGATAAAGAAAACACATTTTCATAGAAATAAAATGCTCCAACAGAAGCTTGCTCCAGAGGCATAAAGTAAAGGATGCCTGTTTGTGCCTTGATTTGGTGCCCAGGGGCTCTCACCTGGACACAAAGGAGAATAATAATACTTAGCACTATAATAGTGTGTCCAGCTGCCCAAAGCATTAAGCTCACATATATTACCTGACCGTAACCTTTACAACAATCCTGCAGTCCAAGTCAGTATTATTACCTCCCATGTTGCAGATGGGAAGGACTGAGGATCAGACAGAGCAGCTTGCTTAAGGCCATCGTGGGAATTCCTGGCAGAGGTAAGGTTTGATCCATGGACTTCCTGATTCCATGGTTCAGTCTTTAGCCACTATGCTACACAGGCTGAATGGGGTGTCTGAGAGGGAAGGATGCCTGGTGTGTGTTTACTTGGAAGTTAGTATCACTGAAGTAAGCATAGGATTGCATTGGGTGCTTTATAGGTCAAAACCAGAGCAGGTGCAGGAGCACTGCTCTAATCTTCTTCCACTGCAATTAAACTTGTGATTCTGCAAAGTAAAGAAGGGTAGCCCCATGCAGGGGGTCAATGCTGGTAGTCTAGTCTGGTGTTTTGAAGGCAGCCATAGAAAGTGTGATTGTAAGACATTCTGAATCATCTCTCTCTCCCCTCTCTTTCTCACTTTATACAGCAAAAAATGGGTATAAAGTAAGAATAAACAACCAAATACTTGTGTTTAGCCCAATAGTTGCAGCTCCTGGGATTATTTGGGTCTCTCAGTCCCATTCAACATGGACCCCTGTCATGGAACAAAATGTTCCTGGCAGCTACATTCACTCCTAAGGTAAATTTCACCACCTTTTGTCACTAGATAAGACTTTCCAATTCTGGAAGACCTTTCCATCAGTTTAAAGTTCGCAAGCTGCTGAGAGGGGACATCCATAAAGAGATCTAAGCTGAACTGGTTATGTTTAGCTTAGAGAACAAAAGACTTGGATGTGGACGTGGCAGTAGTCTTCAAATAACTGAAGGGCTGTCAGACAGAAGAGGGCAAATACATGTCCTTTGGTGTGTCAGAGAACAGGACTAGATCTTTTGTGTTTAAGTTATAAGAGAGTCAATTCTGGATGAACGTTTCAGCCAAGAAACTTTGTGGTAACAGTAATTTGTAGGTGGAGGCAATTAGCTGAAGGAGCAGTGATCTCTCCCTGGCTAGAAGTCTTTGCCTGCCTGAAGTTGTCAGCCATCTGCTGAGGATGCTCTAGTATTGGAGTTTAAGCACTGAACGAGGTGTGTGGATGAGCTGGCCTTCACTGACCCATTTAGCCTGCTGCTTTTGCATCTGATTCACCATTAGGTTATTTTATAGAGAAGTTGTATTACACTGCAAATATATATATTTATTTATTGCTTTTATGTGTGCTGATTTTGGGGGTACTTTTAAAGTAGGGTGGAAATGACCTATAAAATACAATCACTGCCATCACCACCATGACCAGCACTGAAAATACTGACAGCAATAAAATCAGCTTGACTGGGTTGTGGATAAAGTTCAGGACCTGATCAGCACTGGCAAAGTTCAGTGCTCTGATCATTCATTCTGGAACCAGGCCTGGGGAATCAAAGGAAGTGTGTTGTTGCATACAGCAAGTGATTTGATGCTAGGAGAGGAGAAGATACATTTATTAGATATTATTCTTCCTTCCTTCAGCAGAGTGCCATCCCTTTGCAGCTTAAAAGAAGATCAGATAGGCTAGTTTTAGTCTTTTAGTTTAAGTAATCAAGAATGCCTGCATGCTCTGACTTCCTCAAAGCATCTAGGTGGTCACAGCTGGAAACAGGTTTCTAGACAGACCTTCTTGTCTGATCCATCAAGGCTCTTCTTATGTATGTGGCTCTTTGATGATCTGGATCAGGGATGGGAAAATTGTAGTCCTCCAGAGGTTCCTAAGTGCCATCTCCCATCAGCCCCATGCCAGCATGGCCAATAATCAGGGAGCTGGGAGTCCATCAACATCTGGAAGGGCCAGAGTCTCTCTATCCCTGATCTAGATAGTAGGACAGGAGTGGGGAACCATTTTCAGACTGAGGTCTGCATTCCCTTCTAGACAACTTTCTGAGGACCGCATGCCAATGGTAGGTGGAGCCAGAGGCAAAGGTGAGTAAGCAGCAAATGTACATTTTGCCTGTATGTTGTAGAATAGTTTCTATACACATTTCACCTCGTACCCTGATCCTGAAGCAAGAGCCATTATCAATACTCAATAATTTGTTCTGCCCTAGCAAGAACACTCCGGTTTTAATGTAGAGCTAATGAAGGGTGTGGCCTGGGAAGAGTTCTGAGGGTCAGATTAAGGGACATAGAGAGCCATATTGAGCCACAGGCATAGAGGTCCCCAGCCATGTACAGTAGTAGGAGTTAGCTCTAGATGTAGGAGATATTAACTGCTAGTATAATATCACCCTGAGCAAACCGCATATCAACAGCATTTGTCACTGGGGGTGTGGGGAATGACTTCAGGGAAGCCAATATATCCCCTTATCTGTGTACAAACAGAGACATACCTCTTCCTTCTCCTGACCTTTTGTGTGCTCAATGAAAAAGAGTAAAGAAGAAATGGAGGTGCTATAAATGATCAGTGGCGAATACCACAATTTTCTAGTGAAGTAAGTTAAGTAGAAGCCATTAAGTCTAGAATTTAAAACTGCAGCCCTGGCCCTACAAGCCACAAACCCTTGGCCTAGCATAATAAGCTGCCTTACTATATAAGCTCAAACTATTTGTCAGTCTATCCCAGTATTGTCTGCTCTGACTGCCAGCAGCTGTCCAAGGTCTAAGGCAAAGGAAGGTCTTTCTCATCACTTGCTGTCTCCATATATATGTGTGTGGAAATTCTGCGTATTTAAACTGGAACCTTCTGTTTTCAAAATACCACTGGATTTTCACATCTGTCTCTGGTCTAACTCACAGGGTTGTTGTATTAATAAAAAGGGTGGGAGGGAATGCCACATACAGTTCCCTGGATTCACTGGATGAAGGCAAAGGTAGTAATGTAATAATAACACAGGCAATCTGTGGTTTGCTGTTACTGCAGAGAAATGTAGTGTGATTAGCTGTGCGTAACTTACGCACATGTGTCTTTTTTAAAATGCTCCTCAACCTCAGATGGGGTTGTATGTGTTGCCCAGGAAATGTGTCTGGAAAGGGATTTCCTTCCCCATACACACTGAAATATGGCTGGTTGTGTGTGTTTAGAGCACAGTATCAAGCACACTGAGTCTTGGTTTTGTGAGCATGTAGTGGACAGTATGTCTGTGTCTGAGCAAGCGCAGGCTGGAGAGTCATCTGTATATATGCCTTTGAAAAGGGAAAGGAAGGGTTGTGGCCTGTGGCCTGCAGGGAACAGATGTGGTTTGGATGTTAGCAAGCACTTGTTTGATTTTCTTGGGTGTAGGTTCCATGTGGGAGAAGAAACCCATACACCCAGATGTATACATAAACGTTGCATGCCTGTAAACCCACCACCCTGGTTCAAAAACTGCCAAGAAAGTGCCTTACATGTTGAGGAAAGCCAGGTTTCTCGGTTAATTCAGTCTAATGTGCCTTAGCAGTGTAACAACAGGGCATTAAGTGATGTCCAGAGCAAGGAGAAGAAGAAAAAGAGTTTGGATTTATCACTACCTGAAGGAGTCTCAAATCGACTAACATTTTCCTTTCCCTTCCTCCCCTACAACAAACACTATGTGAGGTGAGTGAGGCTGAGAGACTTCAGAGAAGTGTGACTAGCCCAAGGTCACCCAGCAGCTGCATGTGGAGGAGCAGGGAAGCAAACCCGGTTCACCAGATTACGAGTCCACCGCTCTTAACTACTACACCACACTGGCTCTCAGCAAGTTTAAATACTGAGTACTCAGAATGATTTATTTAAAATATTTGTAGCCTTGTAGTACACATGCCAACATATGAGTCACTTCAACCATTTAACAATAAAATATCAGGGAACCTGGACTGATTATAAAACACTAACATGTTCAGTGAGGTCTACTCCTTAGTAAATGTGTTTGGGATGGTAGCCTGAAATATGGCAACCCTACATAATTTGTAATTATTATTATTATTACTATTACTATTATTATTATTATTATTATTATTATTATTATTGTTATTATTATTTCAGTGGCCATACTATTGCAATAGGAACAAAGGAAGCTGCCTTAAAGTGAACAAAACTATTTGGTCCCTCTAGGTTAGCACTGACTGGCAGCTCTTGAGGGTTTCATATAGAGACCTCTTTTTGTTCCCTACCTGGAGATGCTGGGGATCAAACCTGAGTCCTTCTGCATGCAAAGCAGATGTTCTACCCCTGAGCCACAGCCCTTCTCCATGGTATTATTACCATGTTCATCAATCTGGATTAAAGAGCCACCACCCCCAGATTCACAGACACAGTGGAACAAGGCAATGTGGCCAATAGTTAGAATTTTGTACCCAAAAGTGGGTGGAGATGTGGCGGAAAGGATCAAGTCCCACCTCTGCCACTCACTAAGCCTTGGACACCTTCTCCAGATGTTCAGCCAGTGATTCTCTGTCTCCCTGAGACATTGGCTTAAATGAGGCAGATGACCCATGGGATTTTAACACCCAGAACCAGTTAGCTGGCTTGCCTGAGAAACCTCATGGTGGTCTCATAGCTGACCTCATCAGCTGCAGGAGTAGCAAGGAAGCCCTATAGTATCCTATGCTCCACTGGGGGCTTTGAAGCACTTCTGCCAGTCAGAGGAGATCATGGAGGTCTGGATGGATCAATGAAATTTGTTGGTTTCATAAGCTCCTATGGTGTGGAGGAACCTAGACACCCTCAGATGGGAAGAGGTACAAGGGTATGAGATGGAGGAAGACAATATTGCTCCATGAAATGAACCTCCTCCGCTGAGTTTGCCACAATCCCTCCATACATGCCTGAGCATGGGAGAAAGAAAGGGGGGGGGACATCCCCTCAATCCTCCCCCAATTGCAAAGGCCTCTTTTCCGGTTTGTAAGCCGCTGCTCCCCATTCTACTTGGCATATAGAATCTGTGAAAAGGTGGAGAGACAAACAGCCTACATAGCAAAGGGCTTTTAAAAAGATAAGTCTCCGGAGCTCCAGGAGTCTCCTCCTGGACCATTACAGCTCACGTACAAAGTGGTGGAAGTAGGCGGAAGTCCTACCCATCAGCTTCGCCCACTCGCGAAACCCAGAATTCTTAGAAAGAGATACTTATTTATGGGGGCTGAATCCGGTGCTGGAATTGGAGGGGTGCAGAAAGACCCATCCCATTGGCTTTTTCTAATGTCGCGTCAATAGATAGGGCTTTTTTAGAATAGAGGGCGCATCATGCTCTGTCGGGTCATTATACACTCTTCTTCTGCTTTCCCCTCAAGAGTTAGAGCACTCCGCCTCGTTTTTGGCCTCCTCCTTCCGACCGACCTCCCCTTGCCCGTCTCCGACGATTTCCTCTAAATACAAGGAGGAGGCGCGAATTTAAAGGCACACCTTTCCTCTCCTACTTCGTCGCTCAGCACGTTTTTCACATTCTCCAGCCGTCTCTCCTAAACATCCGCGCGCGCACCCTCCACACACAAACAAGAACAACGATGCCACTTAAGAGCAGCAACACGCGACACTTCTCCAATCTTGTTTGCTGAAAGAAACACCCCCTCTTCTTTAAGAAACGCAGTTCCACCCGAGCGCGCCCGGGCGGCTTCTGTAAAGATGCACCGAACTTTCTCGCGACAGGAGAAAAAGATGAAAGGGCCGCAGAACCTTCGAGTCCGGGCAGATCGAATTCGGAACTTTAAGAAAGGGCGTGAATGGGCGAGCCGAGAGATCCGCGCTGGCAAGCCCGACTGATCCTCCTCTCCTCAAATCCCGTTTTAAATTCCAGGAAAGAGTAGCGGTGCCTTCGATGATCGCAACCTTCTTTATTTCGGACGGAGCCTTTGAACCCTGATCTATCCCAGCCGCCGCATCTCCTTCCCTCTTTTGATGCCCCCCCCCGCAGCCCTTTCGGGTTTCCTTCAAACCCTAAACAGCAAACAGGCACGGTTAGTTTTGGGTTTTTTTTGTTTTTTGTTTTTTGGTGGGGGAGCTGCCTCCTTGGGGCTCGGGGGTGGGGAGCCTGTCTGTCCAGACAGAGGCCAAGTCTCCCAGTGGCTTTCCACTGGGATGGCGACTTCTCTCTAAGCCCCCACATGCCTGCGGAGGGATTGTTTGCTCCGGTTGCCCCTCAGGGCTCAATCAGGCAGAAAGGGTCAATACAGTGTATGTCCCACGCAAAAGGAGGAGGACAATAAAGCCACCCTCCGGGTCACAGGTCACTTCGTCACTGATTGAGATATTCGCAAATTTCTTTCCTTCCTCTTCCCCACCTCCCCCATCTCGCTTTCATTCTCCCCCTCCTCCTCCTCCTTTTTCCTTCTTCGAGTTAGCGCCGAAAAGAAAGACCGAGAGAAAAAGAACAAGCAAGAGTTTTGCGGCGCCTTTAAGGACCAACAGATTTGCTACGCCGTCGGCTTTCGCGATCCACAGCCCACTTCGTCATAAGATGCACGGTCAGAAAAGCTTCTCTCCCAAAACAAACAAACAAACAAACAAACAAACGCGTGAGCCTCCAAGGGCCCCGAAAGAGACCCTTGGTTGCTCTTGCTGCAGGAGAACTCTAACAAGGTTAACCCCCTTGGATGCAGGGATCTTTGCCATATTCACACGTGTGCGCGCGCACTGAACCTTAAATTGCTGTCTGTTGCAGAAACATTGAAAGCTATTCCCGACAAACACACAAACAGGCTTCTATTAAGGAGGGTTCAGTTCCTAACTGTGGGTTCCCCTTCATGCACCTGATAAAAGTGGATTTCAAAGCACAAAAACTTATGTCGCAACAACACTGGACAGCCCACCAAACCTTTAGTTCAGTGCGTGCGTGCTAATATAATTTAACGCCCCGTGGTGTAAGGATGAGCGTCGATAGGCACATACATAAGGTTGTTAGATTACGTTGCTCATGGGGAAGGCAGTAATATCGGGTACAAACATTCAGAAGGATGTTATATTGCCACATAGATGGAAAGATCAGAGACAGATAAAATAGACAGACGGACAGATAGATACATAACGGGTGGGGTAACTTTGTAACAAGGGGGGTGCGTTTTTAAGATTTGTAGTGATCAGGCACACCCAATTTATTTTCAATCGTTACTTGCGCTCAAAATTATATTGCGTGTAAAATGACAAAGAAAGGTTATTGAAAGGAAAGACGATTTTTTGGGTGGGGGGGCAAAAATTGACTTTCTCTAAGCTGGGGAAGGCTCCGGTCTCATCCTTGGCTTCCGCTCCCCATCCCAATTCTATCTCGCTTCCTAACTGGAGACGTGGGGAGGGAGATCTCATAAGACAGGTTTTTGTTTTTAAAGTAGTCTGTTGCCGTAGCAAGAAGAGTGGCTTTGAATCCCCCTCCTGATGCGGAGAACCCCAAGGCCTTGGAAAGAGAGGAGGAGGATCGCCTGTTTATATAAATCACAGGCGAAAATCAGTAGCTTGGCTGTATGTGACGGTCGTTCTATATAGGAGCGGAAGGAAATCGCCTTTCCAGAACTGCGCTCAGAATTGTTGTGAATAGAAGTTCAAATATGGCAATAAACTCTTCTTCCCATAAATTGCTTACATATCGCAGTGTCCCAGCACCAGCTGTTTGCAACACCATCAATCATAATAAAAGAATAAAATTTCATTTATGGAACATTTTATTAGCCCATTACAAAATCCAATAGCCCACATTCCCAGAGGACAGTGGAACGTTTCCCCGAATGCCTCGATGGAACCAGCATTTCTTACACAGGGGCATTAATGCGATGCCCCCTTCCATTCTCTAATATGCAAATGCTACACTCAGCCTTTCCCACGTGCTACTTAACCCTCCGAATACCTGGATTTAACCGATGTAAAAAACGGAAACATCAATCAAAAAATATAATTATTAAAAGCTCTTTTATTGGAAATACTGTCAATGACGGAAGTTGAAGTGATCTTCACGCAAACACTTCCATTTGCCTTTTTCTTTCTAAGGAGGCTCGCAGCCAAAATCATGTTCACATCTTTTGACACTGGTGCCATTGGCGGAACCTCAAAGCAATAATGGTACGTCTGAACCCGCACCTTAGCAAGCCTGGCATCTGAATTTGTGTGGGGTGATGGTGGACCAGAGTTGGGAAAGAGAAAGGAAGGGAGCCGAAGAGAGGGTCTGCACAGATTTTTCAAACAACAAGGACATCTCCCCCTCTCCGGCCCCCACAAATGGACGGAGGAGACAGATTTGGCAAATTGTGTTGTCATTTTTCGTAATGATTCTTGTTCTAGACGTATTCGGTGCTTTAGCAAATAAGATCGGGCTTCTCAACTGAGATGATCAAAAGGACAGCATGGATGCCCAAACCATATATGCGAAGCTTATCTGTGACATGTTTGTCTGTCCTTTAACCCTCACAGCCGTACATCCTACTCTTCTCTTAAAAGAAGAGATGGAGAGATAGAATATAAAGACAGGAATTCATATATCAAATATAGGACAAATTTCCAGCGATTGCATGATAGTTGATCCGCTGGCGTCTACATACGTATTCTAGTAAGACTTTTGTGTCCTTTAAGCAACAATAGAGAGCTTGAAACTTGTATGTGATAGAAATTGGCAAATATGGGTACCTGTGATCTATCTGCCACCTATTTTATTCCCTTCTTTCATAAAATGTCTGAAAGCGTCTTACAAACCCTTGACTATATCAGTTTAATGTGGACATCAAAGCGATCGAGTTTTGATCCCTTTCCTTGAACATTTTGCTACGTGTCACATGGGTGTGCGTATGTGGAGTGCAGATAGTCTAGTTGGATCCATAAATGGGACGTGGTTTTTGTTTGTTTCTTTGTTTGTTTGTTAAATAATCGTGTTTATGATCTTGGAGAGAAGGTGCCTGGATGACTCTTAAGAGTGAAAGGCTCTCTTTATCCGGAATAGATATCTTCAAGATAAGTAAATAATTCTTTCACGCTCCCATCCAACCAATATATAAAACGTTGCCCAGGAGTCTAAATTAACCACCAAAGACCAAAAATAAAAAATCAAACACCTTTGCAAAGTTACTCCTGTTGGTTTCATTATTTCTTTCCAAGGACCAGCCATTCATTCAGCTCTGCCTTTTCATTTTTGCCTCGCTTCTGTAGGATATTGCTCCATAGCACTGGGCCTATAGGGCGCCTGATTTCCACGGACCACCCCCACGCCCCAATTTTAGATGTGCCATTAAATTCATTGCAGTAAACTGAGGGTTGACGCTCCAGACTGACACCCCAAATG